CTATGGCTACAGTTATACACATCATAATAATAATATTAAACATCCTGTCTTCTAACAGTCATCAACTTTCTATCTAGTTATCCTTTACCATAAGCAACCTGCAGCACTCATGAGAATGCCTAAGCATTTAACAGCCCGAGTTAGACACCCTGTCTACTCTAAACATTTCTAATACATTAAGTATCTAACCAATATCTTTTTGACTAAAAACAGTTCCCACTTTGTAACCATGGTGACGGGTGTCCTTATATAGTCTGTTTTTTATTTCTCCAGGTGAGCGTTTGTGTGATGATAAGCACTGCAAAATGACACCACAGAAAATAAGGAGGGGGTCTAAACAGAAGCTGAAGAGGGAGAAGGAGGAGGAGGAGGAGGTGGAGATCCACAGAGAGAGAGGAGGGGAGGAACTGACAGACAGAGGAGCGCAGCTCTCTGAGGTCAGTTCCCAAGACTTTCACAAATAAGCTTCTTTTAATACTGTGTCTGGAGGCTGAGAGAGAGAGAGTTTCACACTTGTTCTCAGGGTTCTAACTTAGTGGAATGTGAGCACACTGACACGAAACACACATTTTAAGATCCAATGTGACTTCTACCCGAAGACCTCACTATCTCTGATGTCCCTCCAGAATAAGCCTCCATGAATCTCCTTAGAGATAAGACGGCAAAACCTAACTAAAAACATCATTTCTTTATGTTTTCTTCCTGTTGTGCGAAGAAGTGATTGTCCACCAGAAACAAAAATGTCGCCCAGTTTATCTCCATCTCCATCTGCTTTTAAAACCCCAAATCTGAAAAGTTTGGGATGCTATGTAAAATCAAAATTAGCAAGCATGTGAGTGTGTAGTATAATAATTCTGTGGTGGCACAATTTTAGATCACAGACAAATCAATACAATTCCAATGAGCATTTATTATTACAATGATACCAAATAGGCTGGGTATAGAATCGCCCTTTCTCTACAGAGAAGGGTTTGTGCACTTGAGCAGCGAGAGAGAAACAGCTGCGTTCCCTCTGCCTACTCCCCCTAATACAGCCTAACAAGAGCTTTTATCCCCACACATTATCCATACACCCATCCTGTTTTTCTCCAGTTCCTGCCAAGTTCTCAGTTTCCCATCAGTCCTATCACCCCTTTTTAGGAAATGTTCTGTGGATATATATATGTATGTAATCTAAACCTATTGTACTCTATTACATATTAACTAGAACTATATTGTTTTTAACCACTACAACTGCAAGCGCAGAATCTGATTTGAGAGCATCATCCCTATCATATGTGCCTTTTTTTTGAGTCTGTGTTCTCAGATTTCTCCACTGGGTTTTGTGTATGTT